TTACATTCTGGGCTTGCAAAGAAGAAAAAATAGGATTTGTCACAAGATGTTTGAAGATGGACTGACGACTAAATATAGCAAACATAAAAGATATAGCACTTAAAAAGTGATAATTTTTTTTTTTTTTGGAAACAGAGTTAAGTAACTCAGCATCAAAATGCAAAATTTAAAAAATAATAAATTTAAAAAATAATGTTGCTGTTATTTATGCTATAAAATGCAAAGTTCTTACCAAATGAAAAATAATTATCTAAATAATTGCTGATTATCATGTAATTTTTCGAACTAAAATAGCAATTTTTGTATGTTAAGGAGTTACTATATATTTTTACTTCGCAGTTATTGATATGTTTCACAGGGCTCTAGTTAGATCAGATTATAATATAAACATAGTGATTTTCCAATTGTAAAAGTTGATTTTCTTTTCAAAATAATTTAAAAAGTCATGTTACTGATATATTTGCCTTAAATCGTGTAACACTATTTATTAACAGAAATGGAATGTTAATGTATGTTTAATTTGCTAAACCAGACAGTTTCTCAAGTAATAATTGTCTCTTATGTGAACTGAAGAAAAATATAATTTCTAGCTTTATTTTTTCAATTGGTAATTTTTCTTTTTACTAATTGTTAAGTATCGATGTAATCATTTATATAATAATAAATAAATACACAAACACATTGTTATTTATTATCTTAAACTGTCTGGAATTTATTGTTGACCGATTGCGCGTACGTAAAATTTACTTGCTTGGAAATTCAGCTTTTTTGCCTTTTGGTCAATCTCATCCCTGATTAAGTATTGGGAGAAAGTTTCCTGCGTGGAGGACTTTTTGATGGAACTAACCAGCATTTCCGTTGCATGGAGAGGGAAACCACGAAAAGCTCCCACGGTTAGCCAGACAGCAAAGAAACTCTAACCCATGATCCGTCTACCACTGAGGATATTTTACGTCAGCACTGTGGTCGGTGCAAGCCGGGTGCGGGATTCGTATCGACTGGGATTCGAACCCGGTTCACCTCATTGGAAGGCGAGTGCGCTTTCCCCTGAGCCATCACTGCTCTGATGAAAACCATTGTTATAGATTAAAATGTCATCGAATCAGCATTTTTACGAAGCGTTTAAGAAACAGTCGAAACCACTAGAATATCCTTAAGAGGACGCCATACCGCGGAGGAAAATTCTCTTTATCCTTCATTACTAATTTAAAGTGTAGAAAAAGTGAGTTCAGGCATGCCTAGTGTAAGTCGTGAAGTTTCAGTTGCTGAAAAAAAAATACTTCAAAATATTTAAATGCAAACAAATTACTAGAAGAAAACTTCACCGTTGCATAATCCAAAGTTATCTTCTCACAATTTATTTTCATTTGTATATTTTAAAGTTTTCTTTTCAGTATTCGAAACTTCGTGGCTTGTTCTAGGTTTGTCAGAACATTACTTTTTCTACACTTTAAATTAGTAATGAAGGAAAAAGAGAATTTGTGAGGAAAATTTTCTTTCCTGGTATGGTGTCATCTGAAGGCTCGCTAAACTCATATTTAAAGTGCTTGAAACGCTGGCCAACAAAAATGTTTTCGTTTCTAAATTACTGACTTATATGCGTGAGTCCTGGCTTTCTTCTCATAACGTGGCATGTGATGAATCATACTTACTTTGCGTCATCCGAGTTCATGAATACGACACCAGAAGCCATAATATCTAGATCCCTTTTCATTTGAGGGTTTAAATGCCTTGTGTAGCGTACCTCTTTGGCCCATAGTTTCCACTTTCTCATCCAGTCGCTGTAAGCTACAAGCGCATACTGGTGAGCTCGCGCATTCTCTGATGTGATGTTGGTTGAATAGTTCCAATCGGCAGACTGGTGAAGCCACCACATTTCAGCAAACTCATCATTGAAAGCAGCGAGTTTGGTTGCCACTTCATCGGCAAAAAAATCTGAAACATATATATTCTTTTATTCCCTTATTTCATAACTGTTTAGACTTTGTGTTCGAATCGCTACCAAAAGCCAGTAAATCAATACCGAACACTACAAAATCATTTACAAAACTAAAAAGGTACATACCGATGCGATTAGTAAAGCTAAAATAACACCAATTATTTATTTATTTATTTTTTTATAATCGTCGTTGAATAGCCGACCCAACTTTTGGTTTTACGACAACTAATTTTCAACTCCGTGGCCTTGTAATTTTGAACTCAATCCAGAAGATAAAGGAACTCCTGGATCGAGCCTTGGAGGAAATCTGCCTTTATGGAGGACGTTTGGATGGAATTAACCAGCATTTGTGCTACATGGAGAGGAAAACCTCCAACGGCCAGCCCTACGTTTAGGGGACTCTATACCATAATCCGTCTACCACTGAGGATATTTTATGTCAGCACTGTGATTCGAGCGAGCCGGGTGCGGAACTAGTATCGACCAGATATAGCTGGGAACCCAGTTCACCTCATTAAAAACGAATGCTCTATCTCCTGAGCCACCACGGCTCAATTATTTAGAATTATTTATTTCTAGTGATTTTACATTTTTTGTAGTTAATTCCATTAAAATATCTGTATCACTTGGCATATTGCTATTGCTTGGCGCCAAAACATTCTAATATTCCTGTACTTATTCTTTTTTGAGGTGCCTATTTCCACAGTATCTATATCAAAACTGCTGAGCATTAATAAGTACCAAATACACGAATAAAATATTTTGCAGGTATATTTGGTACCTATTACCTACCTAAATCGTTGAATTTTGTTCTAAATGCATTTCTAATTGGAAGCAAACCAAAAGCGAAATTAGAATTCTTATGAGACCTTTGTGACCATTTCATTATTTGTCCATTAATATACCGTTTAAATTATTTATAAGTGGTGCTGGAAAAAGTTACTTCAATTGTGATACATTAAATTTAATCTTTATACATTAATATACTATATTTCCTATAACCATGTCATAATGGAGTATATAATATATATATACTCCATATATGTATATAAATATATGCATATAAATATATGTATATAATAGTATATAATATACTATATTTCCTATATACTATATTTCCTATATTATATACTATATTCCCTATTTGTTGTGTAGTGTATCTACCACTACAACAGAACAACTACCCGGTCACCAATATGGGAAGAGTTGTTATCGACCATGTCAATCTTCATCTATGAAAAGGTACCCAAACATAGAGTTAAGATGTCTTACATATTAGTGAATTGGAATTGTATATTTGTAGTGGTAGATACACTACAGTACTTCCCCACCAGAATTATAGCTGTTATAGAATTCGATGAACGGATACCACTAGTTGTATCATTGCTGTTTTGTGAGAAGCCAGTAGAGCTGTATTAAGATCACCGTACTTTTGAGTGCTGATCGTGAGAGCTGTATTAAGTTCACGGTCGTGGTTGCTCCTGTGTCGCCAGTAGCAATCGAGTGTACACAGGCCGACGTTGTGTGTGATCGAGACTGAGTAACAACAGCGCGAGGATAGTGTCACAGTCACAAGTAGCAAGTCAACCGTTTAATGCGGATAATCTATCGGAGTAGGCGTGTTTAAATCGAAATGGGAGTTTCTGTCAAGGTAAGCGTGTTCAAAACGAAGTAGGAGCATCTGTCAATGTAGGCGTGTTTACATCACGTCCGAGTCACAAATGTAGGAATAGTATCGACAATGTGAACTGTCATCAATGAAAAGGTACCCCTACATAGAATCGAGTTAACATGTCTTATATACTAATGAATTTGTATTGTATTTTTGTAGATACACTACAACTGCGTTAAATCCGTTGCAGAATATGTACTTGGTTAAACCTGCACCAATTATCATAATGCCAGTAGTAAGTAGTATTACCAAAAGTAATGGCGCCAATTTTAGTATAGCAATTTTTTACCGTTCCCGTCGATTGCCTTTTCTCCAATACTTTTGGTTTTTAGTACATAACTTAAAGACCCATTACCTAAATTAAGGAAAATTTCCGTGAAAAATAAGATGGCGATACTTAACATTTCTCCTAAGCGAGTAAGTATTAGTTTTGCATTAATTTCGTTTTATTATGTTTTATAAGGTATTAATTTTACTATTTACCTATTTTGTTTTATTAATTTTGTTACTTATTTTCTTATTCATTTGAATTACCGTTGATTTTAAATGACTTAGTCTCATAAAAACACGTTTTAAAAGAGTTTTTTGATACAAAATAAACGCGTGGTTTCAAATAACTTCATAAACACTAATTTGGTGGCGTAGTCTGCCGAAGTTTTTGTATTCAAGTTGATCATTGAATTTATCTGACATAGCGAATAAAAAATAATTAAATTTAAAGCACGTGCAATAAACTCTCTTTTTGATCAAATAAGAGATATAAGCTACCAAATATCACTGACGCTATCCTTAAAACATTTGAATAAATTGAATCGTCTATAGTTTAATTTATTACAAAGGCTTAACTTTAAATAATGAGAAAATTCCATTTTTCAAATGACTTTTTAGAACTCTTTTTTCAGAAATATTTTGAATGAATTTTATAATTGGGACTGAAAATTGTTCCTTGCAGCCGTAGTCAAAATTACAGGACGATAGAGAAAATGCTTTTGGAGAAATTTCATCATTATTCAAATCATCATTTCTATTATATAATAGATTATATATCAAAGTCCCTGAATAAACTATTAGACGCACTCTAAGATTCTTTGTAAAATTTTAATTGGGTATACTATAGCCTACGTCACAGGTTGTGTTATTCCTACTAAATCATGAACGGCATTTTCTGCGAGCCTAACTTCAAGTCACAAATAAACAAACGAAGTTTTTGATCGTTTAAAGAGCAGCTCGCCAGATTTTATTGCATTATAAAGAAAAGTAATTGTGGATAGTGGCATAGAATTTAGCATTGCGTCATGGTAAATGTTATTCCTACTAAGTGGAAGTAGTTGTGCTTTTTTTTATATTATACCCAATTATCAGACGATACTATACAGCTTTATTGATTTTACGAGACTGAAACCGATTTACACTTACGTTCGTGTATCAATGTAATATAAATCAGACGATATGTAATATAAATTCGACGATTGGATAAATCAGACGATATATTATATAAATATAGAATATTTATTATATTAGAATATTATATTAGTACATTATAATAATTAGATCGAATTACTAGACGCACTGCAGTGTTATAATAATTACATGTTTTGCAAGAGTTTATATGCGATACTTTTATATTTAAACATACATGTAATGGGTTTTAATTCAAGTGATTTTTAATATACTTCCTATTTGTATTTATTTTTAACGTATTGCATTACAGTGTTAACCCATGGATACATGAACATAAACAAGTGCAAACCGGTTTCATCCGCGTAAAGACAATACAGCTATATAATATCACCTGATAATTAAGATTTTACATAGAATCTTATAGTGCGTCTAATAATTTGGTCACGGACTGTATAGATTACTATAGATTATTCGTATCATATTATAAATAATTCGTTATCCTTACAAATGACTTTACACGTGACTTCGCTTGCCATTATCCGATTAAATCTTACTTGAAAACTGATCCAGCGTGATAATAAGTCTTAAAGTTGTCAAGTTAACACGCCACGTGATTTTATGCAACCATGTGATTAGTTACAAGTCACTAATTAATTTTTTGCTTAAGGCTATACACTAGCAAACATCACTGATGATAAATATTTGAAAAACAAAATCGTCTACAATACAACCTAAAAGAATGCCTAATAGTAAACTATTAAGAATTTCAAAATGTCTCCTTTAAAACGTTCAAAAACTATGTTCAAACCTTGCATGGCTATCCAATCTCAAACGAATAAATTCACTTATCACAGATAAAATGATATTCCAACATTTAAAAATGAATTATTGAAAAAAAGAACAAAGATGGTTTTTAAAAAAATTCAAAATTGTATTGTCAATATTGAGTGAAAAATCCTCGCTATATAAAAGTTCGTTCGATTATATGAGTGTAATATTACCTGCTGTAGAGTGGAGTGCTGGAAGAATTAAGACAAAGACACACAATACCTAGAAATTAAAATTGTATCAATTTACAAAAATAATATAACATACAATGTGTGAGAATTATTTGCTCTGTCAATAAAAAATTCAGACTTGAATAAAAAAGAAAAACCATTTTAGAATTTAATAAATCAATTTTTTTTTTATCAAACCAAAATATAACCAGCTTAATTCGTTATTATTAACACTATAGAAAGACTGAAACTTAGTATATACCTATATTGCCCAAAAGCAGACAAAATGGCTGGATTGTAAAACAATAAATAATGTGTAAAGAAATATGCTTAATGAATTTTTTATATTATTTTCAGTTATATAACAAGTTATTAGTAAACATTAGCAATAAAAAAAATCATATGTTGTACAAAAAATTCCCGAAATTCTAAGAAATTGTGTCATTATATACATCATTGTTTATCTAATCGAAATTAAAAAGCAGTCAAAATGACATCCTTGGGCAATCTAGTGTTAANTGGGACAGTAACCAGAGGCTGTCATAACCATAGAAAAGAGTATACTTCCCAACCAGAGTGGGTTTTGAAGCTATAGTATGTATATATTACTCAGAAAACAGACAACCTTGCAGCGAGCATTCTGTTATCGTTTATATTTGGTTGGCATAGAAAGAGTGACTAATTAATCCCTTTTTAAACTTAGTAGAGCTATTAGTATGAAAATCTTGTTTCCTTAACTATAGAAAGACTGAAACTTAGTACATACCTATATTGCCCAAAAGCAGACAAAATGGCTGGATTGTAAAACAATAAATAATGTGTAAAGAAATATGTTTAGTTAATTTTTTATATTATTTTCAGTTATATAACAAGTTATTAGTAAATATTAGCAATTAAAAAAATTATATGTTGTACAAAAAATTCACGAAATTCTAAGAAATTGTGTCATTATATACATCATTGTTTATCTAATGGAAATTAAAAAGCAGTCAAAATGACATCCTTGGGCAATCCAGTGTTAATAATATCCGATTAACGTAAAATTGTCAAAAAACACTCGCTCTTTCTCTATTGCGTTACAACTTATGGTACCAACTAACGCAGTTCATTTTAAAAGACGAGTATTTTTTATAGCGTTTAAAAGACGAGTATTTCTTAGCGTATAAACAAAAAATATTTTTATTTTCAATCAGCATTTGTTTAGAATAACATAAGCTAGTTTTGTGAAATTATTTAGACTAAGATCTAAATAACACATTTCAACATAGCGGTACTATTACTGGAAGAAAATATTTATTTCAATTAAGCGTTTCCCTCCTTAGTGTCTATATTGTTGTAAAATATAGGACTAATATAAGTTAAGATATGGTTTTCTTAAACTTGTCGGGAATGGCACTTGATGTTAATGCAGTTTCTTCAAATTTTAATTCATTAGTTAAATGTAATAAATTAGTTTCAGTTTTATATGAAAAAGAAAATTGTAAATATTTATTAAATAAAAAATTTTTTTAATTATATAATAAAAGAAACTAAGATAAATTTTTCTTTGTTGACTTTAATTTTTTTTATTTTTTTGGATGAATAAAAAGTATTTTATTAACGATTGAAATTTTGAACAAGATTCCTACTTTGGCCAACACAGAAAAATTTCATCTTAGTTTCTTTTATTAAATAATTAAAAAAAATTCTTTCCCCTATAAAACTAAAACTAATAAATTACATTTAATTAATGAATTAATATTTGAAAAAAAACTGTATTAACATCAGGTGTCATCAGTTTAAAAAAAAATTATTATACATTTAAATGTATTAAATGTATAATAATGTAATGTGGATGAATAAAAAGTATTTAATTAATGTTTAGGGTGAATATAAGTTAAAACTTTGAACTAAATGAATTATTCAAAAATACTTACAGAATTTTTCAGAGAATTCATAACAGGAATGAAAATTTCAGCACCTCTGATAAAATTGTCCCTTGGGGGGGGAATTTCCATTTTGATTCCCACCAATCTGTGACGTCACAGATAGAGCTATCAGGTAACTGCGAACCGCGTTCCAGGAAATTGCCTCAATTATAAATGACTGAAATCAGATACTTAATTAGCATACCAAACTTGACTTGGCTTTGAAGGGATTCTCTCAAATATTTTAAATAAAACTTGGTTCTTCTTTTCTCGACTTCTTTTCTCTTCTTTTTCTTGATTTTTCAATATAATTTCTATGTCTATATAATAAATATTTTTAAAAAATAATTTTGAATTTTCTTTAAAGAAACACACTTTATTATGGGGTTTTACACAAAATAGTAGAAAATAAAATATTCGGTATAACGTAAGAACTGAGTTGATACAATCTTAGTTAATTTTTCAGATATTTTGCGCACTTTATGTACATTTTATCATAAAATTTATCATATGTCATTTATGTAAATACGATACGAATTCCACATCCGGCTTGCACAAAACACAGTCCTGACGTGAAATATCCTCAGTGGTAGACGGATCACGGGGTACAGTCCCTTTGCCGTTAGCCTAACCGTTGAAGGTTCTCGTGGTCTTCCTCTCCATGTAAGGCAAATTTCTCCCAGTACCTGATATGGGAGTTCCCTTGTCATCTGGATTGGGTTCAAAATAACAAGGCTGCGGAGTTGAGCGGTAGCAGTCGTAAACCCAAAAATTGGGTCTGCTGTTCAACGACGGTTATAAAATTAAAAAAATGAATGCATATTATTAATTTTAACATGAGTATCAATAATAATAGGGTGATTTTTCACGGTTTCCCCAAAGCGAATAAGTATTTTTTCTTCCTAATAAATATATATCCCTATAAATAATAATGCTAATAACATATCTTTAAATAAGAAAATATTTGCAATAACTGTTTATTAAAATAGACTCATTATTCCTTTATAAAATGAAACAAAGCTATTCATATTATCAATAGAGACATTTCTTAAAAATTTAAAAAGCAAAATTCCTTATAATCAGACAAAATAATGAGCACTTTAAAATATAACTGGATAATTATTTTTTATAATTTTTGTTAACATAAAATGTTATCGAACTTAGTATAGTTTGGAATCCATTTATTTCTGCCAATTCCATGCAGCCATACTTTCTGTCGTTCTTTATTGCGATCTCGAAGGTAAACGATGTAGCTTAAAGCCTAATTTTGACTTATTGGAGCACTCAGATGCGCAACAACCTTTTTTTTAAAATCATAATTTAAAAGTATAAAACAAATAAAGTAAAAAGAAAATAAGAAATAACAGACCGAGTGCATTGCTGCTTCACTGTTCAAACTAGTCAACAAAATGGCGTCAGTTTACGAATGTGATCGGAGACAGTCAGTTAAATTCGAAAGCGGCACAAAGGTCGCAGGGAAAAGAGTGACACTATAAACTAGGTAATCTAGGGATTTGCAGAGCCTGACTGAGGCAGGGGCATACAGGGCAGTTGCCCCGGGTCACCACATCAGAGTGCTCCCCCAAATCTAATTGATAGTTTATTTTACGTTTCCTTCTTTAATACGTTGAATGCCACGCTAATTTTACGCGGCTTGCCCGTCTGGCAAAACTGATTTTCTCAGTATGTATTGCATTAATTTCTTCAAACCATTTTAGTAACGATAATAATATTAAAAAAAATTAAAAATTTACTCGAACTATGTGTTTCTAATAATCTTGGCTTCGCCGGTGACCCTCGTGGCGTTACGAACAAACTAAGTGCCGGTCACTGGTGACCCTCATGGCATTCAACGTGTTAATGAACTTTTTTTTTTTAAACAAAATATCAATTCAGTGTAAAATCAGTTTTATGTTAGCTTCTTCATTAATCTATCGTTGTTGTTATTGTAGTAAATTTACGTCGCACTAGAGCTACACAATGGGCTATTGGCGACGGTCTGGCAAACATCCCTAAGGATGATCCGAAGACATGACCTCACAAGTTTGATCCTCTGCAGAGGGGATGGCACCCCTGCTTCGGTAGCCCGACGACCCTGCACGCGAAGTTGAGCACTTCACGGTAGAACAGTTTAATGAGAACAAATACCGCACACCCTTGGTCCTTACGCAGACTAATCCAAGTGGTCACCCACCCGCACACTAACCGCAGCCAGTGATGCTTGACTTCGGTGATCTGCTGGGAACAGCGTCTTAACGATCAGTCCATTGCGGGACCATTAATCTATCGTATGAACACAATCTATCTTTCGTAAATCCATGACTTTCTAAGACTGAATTCAGCTAAAATTTCGCAATGATGATGGAAAAATTTGGCCAATCAAAGCCTGCATATTTTATATACAGTCACTCGAAAACACACGATTTTTTCGAGTGACTGTATGGCAAAGTGCGATATGTTTACAAAAATACAGACTTTTGATTAACTTAACTTTAACTGAGCTTCATAATATGTATTTCTTTTGATATCGTTTATTAGTTGATTTCGAACTGTAGATGCCAGAAGATGAATGAATTCATTTTGAATCTGTGGTGACAAATATGAGAATAACAAATTTTTCTGTTAACAAATTTTTTCATACTCTATTCACTTAATAATAGAATCGTCGAGTAGATGTAGTAAGTAATCTTATTTGATTTATTAGTTAAGTTACCAAGAATGCCTTGAACTTGAAAGGTAGTAACATAGTGAAATATACAATATAATTTATGCTGATATTTTAATATTTAATAACATTTCATTTTTATTCTAAGCAGAGCGC